GTGTGATCTTGGCTCACTGCAACCTCCGCCTCCCGGGTTCAAGCAATTCTCCTGCCTCAGCCTCCCGAGTAGCTGGGATTACAGGTGTCTGCCACAATGCCCTGCTAATTTTTCATATTTTTAGTAGAGATGGGGTTTCATCATGTTGGCCTTGAACTCCTGACCTCAGGTGATCCACCCACCTCAGCCTCCCAAACTGCTGGGATTACAGGCGTCAGCCACCGTGCCCCCCAGCCTTCTTTCAGTTTCCAGGAATGCTGTAGAGCTTCGTCCTGTTCACCTCATGGAGCTGATGAGCTGGGAGAATTCAAGGGAGGTGATGGAAGGGGAGAAGGTAAGTCCCCAAGTGACCCCGTTGAAAACCGGGGCCTGGGCCAGGCACAGTGGCTCACTCCTGTAATCCCAGCACTTTGGGAGGCTGAGGCGGGAGGATCGCTTGAGGTCAGGAGTTCGAGACCAGCCAGACCAACATGGTGAAACCTCATCTCGACGAAAAATTAGCCAGGTGTGGTGGTACACACCTGTAGTCCCAGCTACTTGGGAGGTTGAGGCAGGAAAATAGCTTGAATCCGGGAGGCAGAGGTTGCAGTGAGCAGAGATGGTACCATACCACTGCATTCCGCCTGGGCGAGAGCGCAAGACTCTGTCTTGAAAAAAAAAAAAAAAAAAAAGCTGAATTTCAAACAACTTTTGACTATCAGTGCTGTAAAGCTGAATCCCAGAGATAACTGAGACAGCAGCAGGAGGATCTATGGTCCAGCCTCCCTCTGGCCGTATAATTCTCTTCCTGATTGAGTTACTTACATTCTTCCAGATGGTGTTTGCTTCTCCTCCCAACTCGCCTGAAAACTTCTAGGGAGAAGGGCCAGCCTTTGGGGTTGTGTTCCTGGGTGATCTATCCCTAGGAGATTCTGCACACCCAGTTCTGCCCACCTGCAGCCAGCGTCCAGGACTCCACAACACTACCCACAATTAATACCTCGGTCTCAGTCTTGTTGCAGAAAGTGGCCAGTGTGGTGGACATAGTGCAGAGGTTTAGGTTCTGACCAACCTGGGACAGCAATTTATGGGCTAGGTGACATCCTTGAGCAACTGTATGACCTCAGGCCTGTCATATGGTCTCTGAGCCTCAGGTTTTTCTTCTGTAAAATGGGAGTGATAAAACCAACTTCTCTGACAGGTCTGGTGGCTCATGCCTGTAATGCCAGCACTTTGGGAGGCTGAGGCAGGTGGATCGCTTGAGCTCAGGAGTTGGAGGCCAGCCTGGGCAACATGTCAAGACCCTGTCTCTACAAAAATTACAAAAAATTGGCTGAGTGTGGTGGTGTGCACCTGTGGTCCAAGCTACTCGGCAGGCTAAGGTGAGAGGATCGTTTGAGCCCTGGAGTTGGAAGTTGCAGTGAGCCGAGGTCACCGCACTGCACTGTAGCCTGGGTGACAGAGTAAGACCCCATCTTAAATAAATAAATAAAGTACTTTGTGTAAACATTTGTAACTGTAATTCATTGAATGTGATACATGTATCTACAAAGAAACATAAATAGTTGTCAATTAAATTATGACACATCATCATCAACTGGAACTGGAACTGAAGTCACATACTGACCTTAGAAATGTGAAACAAATTTCGGGCATGGTGGCACTTTGGGAGGCCGAGGTGGGCAGATCACCTGCGGTCAGGAGTTTGAGACCAGCCTGGCCAACAGGGGTTAAAAATACAAAAATTAGCCGGGCATGGTGGTACACGCCTGTAGTCCCAGCTACTCAGGAGGCTGAGGCAGGAGAATCCCTTGAACCGGGGAGGTGGAGGTTGCAGTGACCTGAGATTGTGCCACTGCACCCCAGCTTGGGCAACAGAGGGAGTCTGAAAAAAAAAAAAGGGAAAGGGAAAGGGAA